CTTCCTTCTGGGCTGCTTCCTAAGGATGTGTGCATAGCAAACAGCCTTAAAAAATAAAGACAGCCTCCCTCGGTAGCAAATGACTGGTTGGTTTATTGTCCACTGTGACCAAGATTCTAACTACCTGTGGGATGAATGGGAAGATGTGTTTTGCTCACTATAAAATATTTGGGTCCTTAAGTTCAGGGTGTGCGGAGACTTGGATCTCTTTATATTTACTTGTGGGAATTGAGATTTGGGGACGTGAAACAATTGTTGATATTCTAGCTTCTAGGATTGCTATGAGGAATAAAGTTATTCCTGACCCTGAGTTTTCAACCTGTGGCAACATCCAGAAACTGTGGCAGGCTAACTCACTTGCTTACAAGGAGGGTACAGTCTCATATTTTGTCACAGTATTTGATACTTCATTGCTGCCTGTGAAATCACATGGGTCACTTTATACCCTCCTTCCACAGCCTCCCCAAAGGTCATTCCATGTTTTGTCTTTACCTAAGTAGAACAAGTTATATTCATACTTGTTCTACTCCAAAAGGACTCAAGGCTATTATTTTAAAATATGGTACAAGAAAACATATTATAGGCAACTGCCATTCTCTATGGAAAGAAAAACAGAAAGTCTTGCTTTCCTCTATTTATAGAGACTGACAAATAGCAAGGCAGAAAAATGCAATGATTTTCAAAGTCTTTTAAAGAAGGTCCACAGCAGGTGTAGCAAGCAAGTCTTTGGCAAATGTCTTGTTGGGGAGAGCGTCTGAGAGATTTTGTCTAATTGACTGACTGGCATCAAGTCACAGCAGTCAGGTAAGGGGTGGAGAGGTGGGGCAGCTCCGATCACAGAACCACAAGGAATCTAGTTTTCCTGCCAATTTATGACACAATGGACTAGGGGTGCAGGAGTATGCAAAAGCTTTATGTAAACCAGCACACATTAGGCTGGTGATTGACGAGATTCCACTGCTACTGTGCCAGTGGAAATAGGGTACCAGATGTTTCTGACTTTGGCTACCAGGTGGATTAGTGGACCTAGAAGATGTCTGCACCTGAAGGAGACTCAAAAGGTGACAGAGATGCTCAGTGACAGGTGACAGTCACAGTCACCATGATGATGAATGATGCTCACGTAAAACATGATTGTTCATTTAAGCAACTAAACATTTGATGGTATAACTATACATCATTAATTTATTTCCTGGCTTAAGGATGAGGAGGCTAGAGGAATGATCACATTCACCAGTACTATCATTGCTTGGATATGTGGGAGAAAATATCAGCATACCATGTTGATCATCTCAGTAAATGGTCCCCAGGGCCATCACCATCTCTGCCATCTTTTCTATCTCCAGGGCCAAACAATGAGATATTGACTATACCCAAGAAGCCAATTAGGTAGAGAAATATCATATTAAACATGTTTTTCCCTGACCTAATATTCACATAGTATGAAAAAATTGTAAAATGTCTTCCTAAAGCAGTATTTCTGTGTGCAATACGGAGACTACTGAGCTAAAAACCAGGAACGGAATCTAGCCATTAGCGTGCTTTTATGGCTACATTAGTGGATGAGAGCCACTTGTTACCTCTCAACAGCAGCTTCCTTTTACTGCGAATGGTCATTTATTTCCATCTAACCTCAGAAGGGCCTCAGTGTATGTGCCAGGGAGCATGGAACGGTCATGGTTCTAGATTCCAGGAAAGACAGTTCAGCCCTGGGACTCAGTCATCATCTGACTTTCAGACAACTGGTTTACTCCACTTTGTTTCTATGAAACAAAGTCTCTGACACCTATTGGGAGAACAGGTTACCTATCTATTGACTTCCCTGGTCAGTACACACATTAGTATTTTTAATCCTCAGCCAGCTTTATTAAGAATCATGTCCAAGAACTCCATCCCAACAGGAACACTACCTTTTTCTCTATTAGCAAAAATAGCAAATTTATTTCTAGGGTCATTTATGAGTGCCTTAAAATAATAGAAAATATACTTTTTAGAGAGTCTGACGTATCCCACCAGAGATGGCAAGAGAGGCCCTTCCATGTTTGTCTAAATTTGGATTTGCTTGTCTCCATTAATTACAGCACAGTGCAAATGAGAACACATGTATATGTCTGTTCCTTACTCGGCCCTGGTAGTTTCTCATAGAGGAAAAACATTCAGACCATCACCACTAGGCAGGACTGGGACACAAACATCTGCTGTGAGCCACAAGAGGGCCAGATGGAAAAATAATTCAAGCACACATTGACTTGATGGTGGGGGCAGTGCCATGATTTATACAAAGATTACAGCAGATTTAGCTGGGATGATTTTTGGCTAAAAAATCTCACTGGATGGCACGTAAGGCCATTGTTTTTCTTTCTTTTTTTTTTTTAAATACCATTATCCTTCCTTCTTTTTAAGTCTATTTTGTAAGAGAAAAGGTTAAGTATTAATGTTTAATATCTCCTGCTATCAGAAATTCTCCAGAATCCAAGTAAGGAATTTTATATACTCAATTTGCCAACAAGGTATTAAACAGTAGCACTGGGGAGGAAGAGGCAGAGTACCCAGAAATGTGAAGTGGCTTATTACCCTGATTCCACAAGGAAAAAGAATGAAAACGTGGGTCAACCCTGGTATGTTTGAACGACATAATGCCAGGTGTTTGGTGTAGAACATCTGGATGTGTGATTATATTTTCTATTCTTCCTCCAGCTGTTAGGAGAATGTAAATGTTAGGGATAAGCAAAAAATTACTTTGAACATTTGAAAATGAGACCTGGTAAAAATGGACTGTTAAGGGGATGCCAGTAGAATGAATGTTTCAAAGAAGAATAAACTGAGCTGAGAAAATCCTTTTTTGTCATACAACTTCGTGTTTCCATCAGAAGGCAAAGATCCTCAAATTAGCAGGAAGCCTCAGCAGTACTTTTCTGAGACTTCTTGTACACTTGTAATTTCCAATTGTCAATTTATTACACTATGCATGAGGACAAGGAAGCGAACGGTGCCTCCGACTTATTTGTGTAATTACTTAATACATGATGGACAGTTCATCCAGATTCCACAAGAGTTGATGCTTTTCCTGCCTCCCTTCTTCCACCAGGATAAAGCAAAGATACAATGGTATTTTATAAATTTGTAATTATTTCTAATTTTAAGCTCTTTAGCAGGTATTTCTTTTTCAGTTGTTACTTTTTACATGATTTCAAGCATTCTCTCAGCTCTATTAATCCCTTCTCTGTAGAAAAAATAACATTTGATATTTGCTTATCTGAAAGCATACTGACATAACTATTTTTCCAAGTGCATATTGTATCTTTAGAAAATAAGCATTTTCTGTGTTCTTTTTTTT